AAAAGAGGATTTACAGTAAAATATTCAATGCAAGACTTTGTTTTAGCAAAGGACCAATATCGGTGTTAATTTTACCTCAAAGTATTACACAGACTTCACATTATTTTTAAAGAATAAAACATGCGTCAAGTCCTTCGCACAGATCCCTGCCGATTCTGAGGGGAATGTATGCAGCGTAATAATATGTATGAGTATGCGAAGTTTTTCACTGTCGTCGGGTGACGAATTGTGACAGTTGTTCCCCCAGGGAATCAAGGTTTACCAGTTCGTTTATGCGGGATCTAGGGATACAAATTTGTAGATTCTTTAGTAAAGAACACAACAATACGTGCGTGAGTTTCTAGGCTCGCGTATGTTTTGTCGAATGTTTCCGTGAAATCTTTTGAGGGTTTAGCACAGACGTGATTTCGGTACGCAAGCGTCTTGCCAATTGTATATTTATGAGTTCACTATTTCGTAGTATTGAATTTTCTCTGTTATTCAATTTTGTTGTGCACAAACTTGATTTTGTCAAGGGTTTGCTTTGTGGCGTTTTGGCATAATTTAGGCAACATTATTTTAAAAAATACAATACATAGTTGTTTACAAAACTGGTAACATGTAACATTATCTTTATAAATCACATTGCAAATTGTCAGTCCCTAAACAAAAGTGAAGATTTAGTTTATTTTTATCATATTGTATCACCATTTCATTTTGGACTCTTTTTTATTTCTGTTGCACTATCCAAGAAAATATTCTGAGACAACTTCGTTCGTGCCTTGGTTATGAATTGCTGTTTTTATGGCACAAAGTATACCCTATGCTTCTTAAAGGTGTTCACAAAGTATACCGACTTTTACTTATATTAACGAACCAGCAAGCTAGCACTTTTGAAATGCAATTAACTTCATTTCATTTATCAACCTAGCAAACCTTTTAGCTAGAACGGTTTTAATTACAACTAAATTAACCCACCGTAAGTTATTAGGTCAAGTATTATAAGTTAAATTGGGACTAGTGCCTAAATCTTACTTTTTATAACCTTCCGTGACCACTTTGTGTGTTTAGGCTTTATTGCTTATTCAATTCTTGCTATTTTCATGTTTTCTTGGCCGGCCTTAGAGTCGTTGTGAAATTGGGTTGTTGATATGTTTAGAATTCATAATTCTTTGTGAATAATTAGTGTTGCAATATTCTCATTTTAGCTTGAAAATCTTTTTTTATATTTTTGTTCATATTGCTGTATAATTCAATCAATCATTATGCCAAATTTTTGTATTTACGAATACATCGCAACAAATCTTTTAAATGGCCGTAAATTTTCTTCTTCAAATTCTTATACATACTTGTTTATGTCGGTCTGTATTCTAATACGTAAACCAATATTCAAATAGGCTAGGCATTACCACTCAGCTTACATTACATTACAAGCAAAATTACTTGCCGATCTGTAAATCGTAATTCTATTAATTCAATCTTAAACAACTTGAATACTGTAAATGATTCATAACCGAAATGATAAAGTTATTTCCAATGATATTTTTGACATTATTATTTAATCAAAGAGCTGGTCGTTCCCCTGTATCACCAGGACGTCCTGCCTTATCGTTCACATTATCATCTGAACAGGAAACAGACTGTATTTTTATTTGTTTTACTTCATCCCACGCTCTAAAACAATCTAGAATTAAGTTTTGCGAATTAGTTCTATTGTGGTTTGTTTTGAAACGCACGTGATAAGTGTTTGGATTTTTATTATGCTTCTGATTGAGTGCATAACGATGTTTAGTTATTTTTTCGTGTTCTGGAATATTGTGAATATTTGTTAGTTAAAAAACTGTGTCCTGGAAGAAGAAAAATTATTCAAATAAGGTACAATTTAAGTTCATTAAGCTGGAAGTTCAAACATGTATTGTGTCTGTGCAAATTGAATATTTATTGTATATTTTCAAAAAATAGCACTTGCTAGCGAACCTGTCCTGTACCTAAACAAAACCAGTATTTTAAGCAGTCCATGCTTGAGAAATTCTGTTGAAATTCTCCAACTTATTCCACAATGCAATACAGTTGCTGGTCCATTTTCAGTGCAATTCAGTCAGCAACAATGCTGTAGTCACAGTTTACATTTGAATCAGAGCTGCCAACTTTACAACTAAAAGTACGCTCCAAAAAATCAATTATTTATCCTTCTAGCATTATGCAGTACAATTAGCATTCCACCGGATGCTCAACTCCGCCGGCCAAGTGGGTGTGGGGGGACTTGGCAAAAATTCGACTAACGAGCTCATTGTCCTTTTTGTTTGGACCTCCTTTGTGAAGGGTTCTCGGCTCCTTAATTATCGCATTGAACAAGTTCTGTGGTTGATTAGATATTGCTCAAGATGCTTTTATTGTAACCTTTTATTTATGAGTCGGATTATTTTATTAGTAAAAAAATAAACTTTAAACTTGATAATTGCTCATTATTGCATGTCTTTATCTAATTAATGTCTTTATCTGTAATTGTTCGACGTTATATGACTCAGGTTTCAGAAATCAATGCAGTTTTATAATTAATCTGAAATTACTTCGATACCTAACCTAAGTTAAAGAAGAATCTTTAACAGAGTTTTAAAATTAATACTACTACTAAACTTCACGAAATTTCAAGCGCGTTGGTATATATCAAATACTCTCCATCTTGATAATGTTAGGTAAGTATTGTATCCAATAAAATAATTTTGTATTTTTACTCCGAATGGATTTTCGGATATGATAGAAGCTATTGTATTTTATGTTCAGAAAAGCGTATTACAGACATCGTAACATTTGCTTTCGATGTTTTTGTTGTTGTGGCGTCGACGGATTCTCTTTTACATCGAAACGTGCGTGTGTATTTATAAAACTTCTTTTATTTTTGAATGTACTGATCGTTCGCACCAATAATGCGTAGAAACAACATTAATGTTTACCTTATCAAATTGCAGTAACTTTAAAATTTTGTAATTCTATTACAGTGTTTACAACAACGATTGATGTTTTTTTTCAAATTCTTTTGACATACAATCTGCATGACTCAATTACTGAGTCCAGTAATGAGGTAGTCGAAACTAATTTTATTTTCTTTTTAGGTCCTTTGAGTTCATCCTCCAGGGATGTTTGCCTTAAATTAAAAAGTTTTAGCTTCGTCTCAGGAGCTCTTTCGTGCGGGCGGTTTATTTCCTCTTGGATACTTTTTCCTTTAATGATCTCATACGATTTAATGTTCAAGAAACCTGCTTTACTAAGCTCCGAAGAAAATGTTTTGTGTGCTATAAATTGACCTGAGTTATGGTCTGCAATAGGCGGCTTTCGTAAAATACGTTTAGATTTTCAATTACTACTGTTATATTTTCGAATCGCTTAAGATCGATTCGTGAAAATAAGACAAGCAAAACACGCCTTTACTGTATATATAACACGTGGTAATATTTACATCTATAAAATAAAATTATAATGAGCAAAGTGATGAAATGCTCTTTCATATAAGGATCTTGAACCCAATGAATGTAAAACAAACAAAATTATGAAACAGAAATGGAGTTCACACAAAAATTAAGCCTAAAACGGTACCTTTGAATAATCGTTTGCCTGTAAAAAAGCCGGTCCCAAATTTCCTCTCCAAGAGGTTGAAGTACATCTTTACTCAATAAAGGCACGACATCAAAGACTTATTCACTGATTAAAGGTATATCAGAGCCTTCAGTCACATTTTATGAAGGTTTTTCTCTTTAATTACTTTTTGCGGTTTCGAATATCCGCTTTCGCTTTCTTTGTTAATAATATTTAATCATTCCTTTCATATTTACTTGTACCAAAACGTTGTTGTGTTTTAAAAGAATCAACAAAGTTTTTTAACTGCTAATTTGCACTCATCCTTTAAGGAGACATGAAATACATGTGTATTGCCTACATGACGTGAAATAGAAGAGTACTGGAGTGGTGACCAAGAATGCGTACCAGAAGAAGACTAGGTAGACCAACTATATTAGCAAAGGAACCGAAAAAAACCTAGATACAAAAATAACCCAAGATCGAAAAAGACGGCGTGTTAATGAGGAGGCCTACATTCAGCAGTGGATGATTAAGTTATTAAGTTTCTTTATATGGTGATCATTCAAATATACGTCTGTAATATAAACAATATCTTGTCTAAGAAGTTAATACCTTGTACAATACACTTATAAGGACTATATTTGTATGTAGGCATTAATATAGTATATTATATAGGCAATAATATAGTGAATTTCAAGATTCTAAAACCTTGTAGTCTAAATAAAGCAAATGAAATCCTTTTCTCAGCTCCAAAGCGGAAACAAACTGTGACTACTACATAAAGAACGACGTCCATTGAGTTCGCTACAACTGATAAATACCCCCATCTGACTTTATCTGGCCCACGGATTGCCTCGCTTTCTCTCTATTCGCATTAAAATCCCGTATTGTATATAGCATGTATACCAAGCTCTTTGTACCCCGAAGCCTTATTATTCCTAATTATCTTTCCCTTTCTATATCTATTCCTTTATGTGGGTTCCCGACCTTTGTTATTTATTTTTGATCAAGTCGCTTCTACATTATTAATGAATGTATGGAAAAATTGCTAAGTTTAAAATGTTTTGCGACCTCTTTACGTCTTTTTTCTTTTATTGTTATCTCCTTATGGCTTTTTATGTTTGCCGTTTGATGTTATTTTTAAGCCTTTTTATTTTGTTTTTTTTTGGTATTGTCTGTTACGCGACAAAATGTATTTTCCTTGTAGAGTTTTCTAATGATGTATAGATTCATTGGGTTTCTCTCTGGCATACGTTGTGTCTTTTGATTAAAATGGTGTATATGTAGCTCATTTTTTAATATAATTTTAAAATAATTGATGAAGTTCAATAAAAATCTTGTTTTGATACATTTCTATATACTAAATCGATTATTTGTATGAACACATACTTCGTACGTCACTGTTTAAGCATTTTTTATTAACAATGCTATTATATTTGTTTTAGGCCTGGGCCGGCTGCACCCGTACGGCTCGGGCAGCAGCGGTTCCAGCGGGAGCGGGCGACGGCGCTCGCGCAACCGCGGCCTCTCCGACTCGCCAACTGCCCCCACTACCCCTACCTCGGCGTCCGATAACGCATCTGACGCGACTTTGACGGATTCCGAACTGCCTTTGGCGAGGGATTCAACTCTACTCGTGCAAAACGGTAAGTTATTATGAATATCATAATGGCCTTTGTACTTATACCAGGTATTTCTCGAAAATTCTTGCTACTAATCTCATTTGTTAAAATACCCACCACGTTTAACTTAGAAATAAATGACACTGAAGATAAATAGACCTCTCATCGATTTACTTAAATACTGCTTCCAGAATCAGTACACGTTAAGAATTGTAGTGCTTAAAAATGCAGAATGAGCAATATTTCTTTGCAACGTCGTCTACGTGTGGAGGGTCTTAATCGTGATACGCAAAATCTTGTTAACGTCCTTAAGTATTACATTCGTGACATTAGGAACATTTATCAAGCGCACGACTCCCGAACTCTAAACACGTTCAATTAATAATCTAAGCTTACACGTCTCCGAGTAATCTTCCCCTTTTTCCATTCCCTGTGTTCTCTCGTTGTAACTTTGATTCGTTCACCCTTTGTCGAATTTAAGTCAAACATACGCAAGACTCTGTGTACCACTTTCGTTTTCCGTCTCACGTATCAAACGTTTCCACGAATGTTATTTTGATTTTGCGTTTTCCTCCATTTCAAATGTTTTATTGCTCATTACTGAATGTTTTTTATTATTAAATTTCATTTTTTGCTATAATTATTTCCGCCTGCTGGAAAAATTTTATACGTGTCGAAACGCAGTGAGTGAAGCAAACAAAGCTTTCTTGACATCCATTCAAATTGTACAATCTACGAAGGAATGACTCGGCCGTTCCTCAACCGATGTGCATGAAATTTGAAAAAATACGCTACAAGTTCAAATTTTGATCTGTGACCTGAGATAATTTAGGGTCACAAGTTGCCGTGGAAAAAAAAAATCAATTGTAAAATTATGCGCGCACAAATATCCTGAAGAGTGTCTGTTACATTGTAAGTCAATGGTTACGTCAGTCAATATTGCATATAAATAAATTGCATCATTAAGAAAACAGCAATGCATTTCGGCTGTATGATTTTTCTATATAGTAAAACATTACTATCGACGCTCTCTGGACCGGTTTTTATGATATTTAAACAAACAAAGCTGAAATTGGGCTTAGAATTACCTTCAGAGCTTACAAGTATTTTCATATTATATAATTAGATTTCGTTGTTAGAATGTTATCAATTTTCATTTCGCGATTTCATCAGTATATTTCTGTTTCCATTTTACAGGCTGCTCAAACCTTTTATTCAATAATGACACTTCTAAACATAGGAAAATTTATTTGATTCTAAACTATAAATCTTAAAAGTCTGTACTATAGCGACTAGTACGAAAATAGGAGAATTTTCGAAACCGATTTAAAAAAGTCCTTAACATTCCTTTGCGTACAGGAGCAGGATTCGGCGGTAAAAGTGTTTGTGGGAATGCAAAATGAAGCATGTGATTGCTAGGGAATCGCATTATAGCACGGCCATGGATGCCGAAGGTTTAGAATACATGGAAGAGAATTTTAATATCCTTCGAACGAGGTTCTTTCCAAGTGAACCATTTATTGTGGAGAATGGAACAGAATATGGACGTATGTGTGTTTAAAGCGTTGTTGTCGGTGTTATGTATCCACCATATTACATTGTAGTATTAAGTTGACGATATATAAAAATGTATGCCAAAAATTACCTGATTTTAGGATGTAGAGTACAATTTATGAAAATTCTTATAAAAAGAAATGTGCGAAATTTTTATCACAATTGAATATTTATTTTAAAATGTGTCATAGAAATCAAGTTTTTATGTTTTAGAAAGAATTAGAAATAAACTATTTTCTTGTCAAAAATCGCGTATATTTCTTTTTTCAAACAGCCTTGACTATGGGACTTACAAAGACCCCGAAACAATAGTTTCATTTTCAATTCCCAATGCAACTTTTCCAAAATTATACGCAGAATATTCTTGAGTCTATTCCAGGAGCTTCATCGTTATCGGCTTTCATAGAAGCCACGGTGACACAAGGCCTCTCTCGCTCTCGTAATGGATTTTTATCGTGTCGTAGTCCATGAAAATTGAAGAGGAAATCCTAGGGAGCTCCGGTTTAATTTGCCTACCATCGGATTCTATAATCGTTCTAGATTTCATTGAATGCTATTTAATTGGAATTCCCTCGGTGTGCCTCTACGACTATCGACAGGGTTATTGGGTCGAATATTGTGTTCCGCGACGCGATTTCTACTTTTCAACATTGCTTGGTTACTTGGAATTTTACTTAAATTTACATTTCTATACCAGGACTTGTTTTTAGTTCACGAAGGTTTTTAAATTCGTAAAATATTAAGAAAGAAATTTCACAGTACCTTCGGCCTTCGGGAATAAACGTGCTTGTAGCTCTAGCATTCCAATAACAACAGTTCTACAAGTCCCCGACGATAGTAACGACCTGTTCCACAAATTACTGGCGAACATTTCCGATCCAACCGCTTGTTTTGAATGTTTTCCTCTGGTCCGTAAACTTTGCCACCGAAATTTGTGTTCTGTTTGTTTGCATTCAGTTTTTGGGTCCCAATTTAAACTATCACAGCTTTTATTTGTCGTTTAGTACGACATTTGTCGTTCCGTGGTCTGTTCGACCCAACCCTTTGTTTGGCACGTCGAATTTGTTCCAGTCATGTTTCGGTTCTCTCGAAATTTTGGGATAATTTGTCTGTATATAATATGGACATCGGTTAATATTTAATTTGGGTCGCGCAAATGTCACCGGACATCGTTTTGCGTCGTAAGTTAATTTCTCTAAGTGATGTTATCCATCTCTGTTGTTAGACATGTGCCGAAATATTATTATTTAGGTCAAACTTTTACTTCCCTTTTATATAACGGAGAAGCAATTAGGAGAATGATCCAAAATAGTTTTTTTTTTCTTAAGCATTCCGCTCAAACCAGGATGGTATCATTTTGTGGGAGCAATAAACTTTACACCATCGTCAACCAATCCTATCGGTTTCTATATTTAAAAACGAATATCACAAATCGGTTGGGTCATAAATGGACGACAAGTCGTAACCGGGAGCTGGCCAGACGAATGTGTCAAACAATTTGATACGCGCTTCGAACGACATTTTTATGTCGCGATATTTCTGTAGAGCGAGTGTCTCCTTTAATTGCCGCTATTAAACGCATGTTTGTGACGGATCGTCGAGCGATTGATGGCTTTTAGGGTTTTTCTTTCTAACAGTGTCTGTAAAGTGGAAAATAATTTACTAGATCTGAGTTCCGTACGTTGTTCCTTTAGAAGAACTTGGTTAACTGTATTGAAACATATAACCAAATTATAGTAGGCAGCGTACTTTTAAAAACTTTACTATATAGCTATTTAAACTCAATATAAAGATGACTCGGTCTGTAGCTCACTTGGAAAGCGCGGAGATCAATCAGATCGAAGATTTTTTCTTTTTTTGTGTGTATAATAATAATTTCACTGTATAGTTGTCCTTAATAATCTCAGTACAGAGTACTAAAAAAACCGACCTCAAAAGTATGTGGAATTACGTTGAAATATTCCCTAGTTCGCCACTATACAGGACTTGACACTGGAGATAATAATAATCGGTTCTCACTACTCAAAGCATATTGGGAGAAAACGCCTTGAATTGGAGGAATAGCAAAAACAACCATTAAAATAATAGCTCCTAAATTAAATTAGGCGCAAATTAAAAAAATGAATCTTCATGTGTGAACAGCCACACTTAAAGGTGGATGATTTTCTTCAAAATGAAATGAGACGACTATGGAAGTACCCACTTTCCAACAAAAAAAGAATCATGAAAATCAGTTCACAAATACCGGAGTTATCGCGTAACATACATACAAAAAAAAGAACATACAGTCGAATTGAGAACCTCCTCCTTTTTTGAAGTAGGTTAAAAATTATACAACGCATTTAATGTTCAAAGGCTACCGACCAGTATTCAAATAAAGCTTGCATTAACGGCATGCCATGTAACCCTGATAGTCATTTGTCTCTATCATTACGAATACATAGTTTCTATGTAAGAAAGAGATCACACACGAGATAGTGGTGCGTCTTATGTGGAACAATCATAATGAAAGCCGGAAATTCGTTAACGAATATGGCAGCGGTTCGTTAAATTTTATGTGTGTTTGTTTAATGAATGAATGTCTTTTTAAATTTCCATGTGTCTCTGAAATGTGTTTTTGTAATCTGTAGAGAGAATGACAAACTGTTAAACCAAATGTGTTAGTTACACAACTTCGTATTTGAACTTGATATAGCATACTGAAAAGCTATAAACATTTGTAATTTTATCTTTATTTTTACTGGCCATAGCGTTCTTTGTTCACTCTTATCTTGAAATGTCTATATTTAAAAGCATGACCAAAGTCCTTTTTATAATTAAGATGGATGATTCATGAGCAAAATTACCTGAAATAAGGTTGTAAATATAAAGTACTCAAAGGCAGCGTCATGATTCCATTTTTTACACTATTTTACACCTCGAAATTGCGGAATTAAGGTTTCAGTATTCATCCATCTAGGGAATTTTCGTAAAATTTCGTTCGTTTCAAGCACCCCTTAATCCTTAAGACGAATATCTCAAACTCACGAACGGAGCGGAATAATCGCAAGGTTGTGACGAGCGAAAAAATGTATAATTCGTCACTTAATCCCAGCACCAAGGGGATTTCGGGTAACAAATATCCAGCATTAACTGTGACAGACGCAGTTGATGTTAAGCGCTAATAAAGACCCAGTAAATGTTACGATCGTATCACCAGACCTAAATTCACAAGCTCCAAAATACTATGTACAAGAATACATATTTGCCTCAGGTGCCCGTAGCTACAAAGAAAAACCGATTAAAAGGACATTATTACAAAAGATGTAAAGGCCTGACAATAGGGAAGATTTCACCAGTACATTAAGCATAAAAACCCTTCAAAAAGTGGAAGAAAATCCTATAATGCGTAATGAACTGAGGATCATTACCACGCCGAAGACTAACCGTAAGTTAAAAGCGGAACTATTCTATAATACAAAAGAAACGGGCATT